TTGAGGTGCAGTGATAAGAGGTTCAGTAATAAGAGGTGCAGTGAGAAGAGGTACAGTGATAAGAGGTGCAGTGATAAGAGGTACAGTGATAAGAGGTGCAGTGATAAGAGGTACAGTGATAAGAAGAGGTGCAGTGATAAGAGGTGCAGTGATAAGAGGTGCAGTGATAAGAGGTACAGTGATAAGAGGTACAGATAAGAGGTGCAGTGATAAGAGGTGCAGTGATAAGAGGTACAGTGATAAGAGGTACGGTGATAAGAGGTACAGTGATAAGAGAGGTGCAGTGATAAGAGGTGCAGTGATAAGAGGTACAGTGATAAGAGGTGCAGTAATGGCAAAGGGGCGGGACGAAAAGGGGCGTGGCCATGCGGGCGTGGCGGAGGCGGGGCGAAAAGGGCGTGGTCAAGCAAGCGTATTAGGGCGGGGCGACGAAGGCGTGGCCTGTAGGCGCGGGGGTGGTAGCGGAGCGATGAGGGCTGAATAAATTTCTGAATGAATTTTTCTAGAATTAAAAACCAGAAAAGAAAGAGATAAATAAAAGGACAAAAACAAAATAAAAGTTAAAATTGCAAAGGCTATTGAAAGTTTTATGATCAATAATTTTTTTAAATGGAATTTCCGTATGGTATTTCATTGAATTTTTATGTCTTTTTTCTTGCTTAACAAAAAAAAAAAAAAAAAAAATGAGAACAAAAATATGATAGGAAAGAAAAAAGAAAAAAAAACCTAAAATTACAAAAAAAAAAAAATCATGTTTGCTATCTGTTTTGATGATAATAAATTGAATAACTCAGTGATTAAATTAAATTATGAAATAATTTTTTATTTTTTAGTTGCAATATAATATAGAATAAAAGAATCAATTAAACTATTTAGTACCTAAATTAGATTAAAAAATCAGCGAAACAAAAAATATTCATTTAAAAATGATGAAATTAATGAAATTGAAAAAATATATTTTTCCTTTTTAAGAAAAACTAATTTTCTTTTAAAGTTTCAAAGAATTTGGTAAATATTGTTACTGTTATTGTTATTATTGCTACCTTTCAAATTTAACTACTAATATATGTCATACCTTTTTTTTTCTTTTTTTTTTTCAAAATTTGTCTACTTAAATTACTATACTTTTTTTTTTTGGTGATATTTAAATGGTTATGCTTTATTTAAATTTATTCTAGCATGTGGAATTCTAGCATGTTTAAGGATATCTATTTGGTATTATTTAATTTAGAATATTTGGAATGTAATATTGTTTATCTTGTATAATAGCTCAAATATTTTAGAAAAAGTAATAAATTTTGATTTTCTAGCTGAAGTTTTTTTGGGAAAATTGTTCTGGGAAGTATAATATTATAAATAAATAAATGTATCGAATATGATATATGTTGAAATGGAATCAAACTATTATATATGTTGATTGAAATGGAATCAACCAAAAAAACTTTGTATTGATTGAAATAATTGTATAAAGTAATGTGACATAACTAATAAAATGAATTGTTCTCTTTTTCCTAATTTCAAATTTTAATTTAATATGATAATTAATTTTGTTTGCTATTTATATGTCAATGATATATTATTTCATTTGATTTTTCATTATAATAGATAATTTTTGATATGAAATTACATTATAATACAGTTATACATCTTCTTTTCTTCTTTTTTTAAAAAAAAAGTTCTTATGAAAATTTGAAATTTTATGAATTGATAAAATATGTAAGAAAATAAGTTTTTTTTTTTTTTTTTTTTTTTTTAAATTAAGCACAAGTGATAAAAAATTATTTTGAAAATTTTAAGTCGGAAAAATTTGAAATGTTTGTGAATATTTTTTGTCACTTTTGTAACTGATTGAAACACACTGATAATAATAAATCAATTTTCAAATCGATTTATGAGATAAAAAAAAAAAAAAGAATTATTTGTTGCACATAAGATTGATTTATTATTATCAAATAGATTAATTGATTTAATGGATGGGAAATGATTAAATTTTAGGAAAAAAACTGTGAAAGACAAAGAATGAAATTAATAGAATTAAATTGTTGGTTGTTTATGATAATAAAAAATTTGAAAATAAATGAATGATTTAGCTAAGATGTTCAGATCAATCTTATAAAAGTTCATTTTGATATATCTTATCAGCTAAACAATTGAAATGTGTTATTTATATTAGCTGTGATCAGCGTAAGAGCGTTTAAGAAAAAAAAATTGATAAATTAACAAATCATTAAAGTGCTTTCATTTGAATGCAAATGAATTTAGGAAAGGAGAAATTGTCACAAAAATGTCACACTGATTATAACTGATAGAATATTGATATTATAAAAATAATTTAACATTTAATATCCTTAATCTACTTAAATTACATTGATATTGTGATATGATAATATTGGTAAATTATTTACACTGATTTGATAATATTGATTAAATCAGTTGAATCAATTAATGCTTTTAAAGAATGCGGCATTGATCATTTAATGATTTAATGAGCAAAAAAAAAAAAAAAAATTATATTAAATTTCTCATAATTTCATTCAGTTTAACAGCAAATGTTTTGAATCTAATAGATTTAATCAATAATAATTAGATTCTATAGCTTTTACTAGTTATCAATTAATTAGTTATTTTTAAAAGTTATCAAATATAGTTCTGATAATAACTTCATATTATCACGAATCAATTATTCTAAAAAAAGATTTGAGCGCAAAATTAAAATTATAAATTCAAATATAAGCATAAAACTGCTGAAATTGTTAAAATATGCATAAACACGTAAAACTGATAGCTGTAATTATTTGAAACTAAAACTGAATGGAATTTTAAATAATAAACTTTTCTTAATTAAATGAAAATTAATTTGACAAAAATATAATTTAAGCTAAAAATATAAATATAAAATTCTGCTTTTGAAACTTAGGTAACATTAGATGAAAAATTTAACACTTATTGGCTTGGCTAGTAGAGATATGATAACAGTTTATATCAATTATAAATTTATCACTAAAGTCAAATTTTTTATATCAGATTGCAAAAATTATAAAAATTTTTCTCGAGAAATATATCAATCGGTAAAGCTTATTTAATTAAATTAAGCTAAAATCTAGCAAAACAAAATTTTAAGTTATTTTAAATAAAAATAGGTAAGAAAATGTTAAATTTGAAATTTTGCAATCATTTAGCTTTCAGCATGAAGGTAATATGTAAGCTTAATTGCTAAACTTTTTGATTTTGATTAAAGTAATATATAATAAATTAAAGTAATATATAATCAATTTTTGATTTTGATTAAAGTAATACTTAATAAATTTTTTTTTAATTAAAGTAATATTAAAAACTATTTCAAAATTATTGGTATTAAAATTGAAAAGATTATAAATTCAAACCACATGTAAATTCTTGATAGGATTTTTATCCTGAAATTAATTATAAATATGTTTTGAAATTTGCTCATTTTTATAACAAATAATCTTTGCTTTTTCAAAATTTCTCAAATTTGAAGGAACTACAACTATTACCAATTTCAGGATTTAAAAAAATAAGTGACAAAATTTGTTATTTCATACTCGAGGAATTTTATAAGAAAAATTTAATTATTATTATTAATTATCAATTTTCAGTGTTCAATTGTTATTTTATGATTAGTTTTTTTTTTTTTTTTTTGCGACAAAGAAAATTTTGTCAAATAATTGAACATTTGTCCACAAAATTGTATTAGCTTTATTGATAGTTAAACAATCATTTTTTGATTTGTCTAAAATGATCGTAATTTGATTCTAAATGATTGCAGTTATTTTGATCAATTAGCTATGATCAATGCTTTTTTTTTTTTTGAACTGATTATTATTCAATGATAATTTTCCTAAATGTAAAGAAAAAAAGGACGAAAATGAATTGCTTTTTGATCATTTATTAGTTGCATTGATTGCCATTGATTAGCATATATTATCTGAAATATGAGCTAATATTCGATTACTTAAAATTGAATTGCAAATTCAAGAATCAAATATTGCTAATAATTGAAAATAGCAATGACTAAATTTATAAGTAACATAATTTTTACTTTTTTTTTTTACTAATTTTTACTTTATTACTTTTTCTAAAATATTTGAGCTATTATACAATGCAAGATAAACAATATTACATTCCAAATATTCTAAATTAAATATTAGCAAATAGATGTCCTTAAACATGCTAGAATTCCACATGCTAGAATAAATTTAAATAAAGCATAACCATTTAAATATCACCAAAAAAAAAGTATAGTAATTTAAGTAGACAAATTTTGAAAAAAAAAAGAAAAAAAGGTATGACATATATTAGTAGTTAAATTTGAAAGGTAGCAATAATAACAATAACAGTAACAATATTTACCAAATTCTTTGAAACTTTAAAAGAAAATTAGTTTTTCTTAAAAAGAAAAAATATTTTTCAATTTCATTAATTTCATCATTTTTAAATGAATATTTTTGTTTCGCTGATTTTTTTAACTAATCTAATTTAGGTACTAAATAGTTTAATTGATTCTTTATTCTATATTATATTGCAACTAAAAAATAAAAATTATTTCATAATTTAATTTAATCACTGAGTTATTCAATTTATTATCATCAAAACAGATAGCAAACATGATTTTTTTTTGTAATTTTAGGTTTTTTTTCTTTTTCTTTCCTATCATATTTTTGTTCTCGTTTTTTTTTTTTTTTGTTAAGCAAGAAAAAAAGACATAAAAATTCAATGAAATACCATACGGAAATTCCATTTAAAAAAAAATTATTGATCATAAAACTTTCAATAGCCTTTGCAATTTTAACTTTTATTTTGTTTTTGTCCTTTTATCTCTTTCTTTTCTGGTCGTTTTAATTCTAGAAAAATTCATTCAGAAATTTATTCAGCCCTCATCGCTCCGCTACCACCCGCGCCTACAGGCCACGCCTTCGTCGCCCCGCCCCTAATACGCTTGCTTGACCACGCCCTTTTCGCCCCGCCTCCGCCACGCCCGCATGGCCACGCCCCTTTTCGTCCCGCCCCTTGCCATTACTGCATTTTCTATCACTGTACCTCTTATCACTGCACCTCTTATCACTGTACCTCTTATCGCTGTACCTCTTATCACTGCACCTCTTATCACTGTACCTCTTATCACCGTACCTCTTATCACTGCACCTCTTATCACTGTACCTCTTATCACTGCACCTCTTATCACTGTACCTCTTATCACTGCACCTCTTATCACTGTACCTCTTATCACTGTACCTCTTATCACTGTACCTCTTATCACCGTACCTCTTGGTACCGTACCTTTGTAATACCTCTTGTTACCGCACCTTGTCACGGTACCGTATTTTGGTACCGTACTTTTGTTATTGTACTTCTTGTATACCGTACCTTTTATCACCGTACCTCTTGGTACCGTACCTCTTATCACTGTACCTCTTGGTACCGTACCTTGTACACTTATTACCGCACTTTTTATATGGTACCTCTTGTTACCGTTTTTTGGTACCGTACTTCTTGTACGTACAATAACCTTTTCTGGTACCGTACCTTCTATCACTGTACCTCTTGTACCGTACTTTTTGTTATTGTACCTCTTGTTACCGTACCTTTGGTACCGTACCTTGGTACCGTACCTTTGGTACCGTACCTTATCACCGTTGTGGTACCGTATCTTTTATTACTGTACTTTACTTGATACTGTTTTTTGGTACCGTACTTCCTATCACCGTTTTAACAAAAGATATGGTACCAAAAGGCGCGGTAACAAGAGGTTCGGTACTAAGAGGTACGGTAACAAGAGGTACATAACAAAAAGTACGGTACCAAGAGGTACAGTGATAAGAGGTACGGTACCAAGAGATACAGTGATAAAAGTACGGTAACAAGAAGTACGGTAGCAAGAAATACATTAACAAAAGATACGGTACCAAAAGATACAATAACAAAATTACGGTACCAAGAGGTACGGTGATAAAGGTACGGTACCAAGAGGTACAGTAATAAAAGATACGGTACCACGAGGTACACAATTAAAAAGTACGGTACCAAGAGGTACGGTAACAAGAGGTACAATAAGAAAAGTACGGTACGAAGAGGTACAGTGATAAGAGGTACGGTACCAAGAGATACAGTGATAAAAAGTACGGTAACAAGAGGTACGGTACCAAGAGGTACAGTAATAAAAGATACGGTACCACGAGGTACATAACAAAAAGTACGGTACCAAGAAGTAGAATAATAAAAGGTGCGGTAACAAGAGGTACATTAACAAAAGATACGGTACTAAAAGATACAATAACAAAATTACGGTACCAAGAGGTACGGTGATAAAGGTACGGTACCAAGAGGTACGGTGATAAAGGTAAGATACGGTACCAATGGTACAAGAGGTACAAAGTACGGTACCAAGAGGTACGGTGGAAGGTACGGTACCAAGAGGTACGGTACTAAAAGGTACGGTAACAAGAGGTACATAACAAAAGTACGGTACCAAGAGGTACAGTGATAAGAGGTACAGTAATAAAAGATACGGTACCACGAGGTACAATAACAAAAAGTACGGTACCAAGAGGTACAGTGATAAAAGTACGGTTACAAGAAATACGGTGATAAAAGGTACGGTACCAAGAGGTACGGTACCAAAAGGTGCGGTAACAAGAGGTTCGGTACCAAGAGGTACGGTAACAAGAGGTACAATAACAAAAAGTACGGTACCAAAGGTACAGTGATAAGAGGTACGGTACCAAGAGATACAGTGATAAAAAGTACGGTAACAAGAGGTACATCAACAAAAGATACGGTACCAAAAGATACAATAACAAAATACGGTACCAAGAGGTACGGTGATAAAGGGTACGGTACCAAGAGGTACGGTACCAAAAGGTGCGGTAACAAGAGGTACAAATTAAAGGTGGTAACAAGAAGTACGGTACCAAAAGGTACGGTACCAAGAGGTACAGTGATAAGAGGTGGTACCAAGAGGTACGGTGATAAAAGGTACGGTAACAAGAGGTACAATAACAAAAAGTACGGTACCATAAGGTACGGTACCAAGAGGTACGGTACCAAAAGGTGCGGTAACAAGAGGTACGGTACCAAAAGGTGCGGTACCAAGAGGTACGGTGATAAGAGGTACAGTGATAAGAGGTACAGTGATAAGAGGTGCAGTGATAAGAGGTACAGTGATAAGAGGTGCAGTAATGGCAAGGGGCGGGACGAAAAGGGGCGTGGCCATGCGGGCGTGGCGGAGGCGGGGCGAAAAGGGCGTGGTCAAGCAAGCGTATTAGGGGCGGGGCGACGAAGGCGTGGCCTGTAGGCGCGGGGGTGGTAGCGGAGCGATGAGGGCTGAATAAATTTCTGAATGAATTTTTCTAGAATTAAAACGACCAGAAAAGAAAGAGATAAAAGGACAAAAACAAAATAAAAAGTTAAAATTGCAAAGGCTATTGAAAGTTTTATGATCAATAATTTTTTTTTTTAAATGGAATTTCCGTATGGTATTTCATTGAATTTTTATGTCTTTTTTTCTTGCTTAACAAAAAAAAAAAAAAAAAAAAAATAAGAGAACAAAAATATGATAGGAAAGAAAAAAGAAAAAAAAAACCTAAAATTACAAAAAAAAAAAAAATCATGTTTGCTATCTGTTTTGATGATAATAAATTGAATAACTCAGTGATTAAATTAAATTATGAAATAATTTTTTATTTTTTAGTTGCAATATAATATAGAATAAAAGAATCAATTAAACTATTTAGTACCTAAATTAGATTAGTTAAAAAAAATCAGCGAAACAAAAAATATTCATTTAAAAATGATGAAATTAATGAAATTGAAAAATATTTTTTCTTTTAAGAAAAACTAATTTCTTTTAAAGTTTCAAAGAATTTGGTAAATATTGTTACTGTTATTGTTATTGCTACCTTTCAAATTTAACTACTAATATATGTCATACCTTTTTTTTTCTTTTTTTTTTTTCAAAATTTGTCTACTTAAATTACTATACTTTTTTTTTTGGTGATATTTAAATGGTTATGCTTTATTTAAATTTATTCTAGCATGTGGAATTCTAGCATGTTTAAGGACATCTATTTGCTAATATTTAATTTAGAATATTTGGAATGTAATATTGTTTATCTTGCATTGTATAATAGCTCAAATATTTTAGAAAAGTAATAAAGTAAAAATTAGTAAAAAAAAAAAGTAAAAAATTATGTTACTTATAAATTTAGTCATTGCTATTTTCAATTATTAGCAATATTTGATTCTTGAATTTGCAATTCAATTTTAAGTAATCGAATATTAGCTCATATTTCAGATAATATATGCTAATCAATGGCAATCAATGCAACTAATAAATGATCAAAAAGCAATTCATTTCGTCCTTTTTTTTTACATTTAGGAAAATTATCATTGAATAATAATCAGTTCAAAAAAAAAAAAAAGCATTGATCATAGCTAATTGATCAAAATAACTGCAATCATTTAGAATCAAATCACGATCATTTTAGACAAATCAAAAATGATTGTTTTAACTATCCAATAAAGCTAATAACAATTTTGTGGACAAATGTTCAATTATTTGACAAAATTTTCTTTGTCGCAAAAAAAAAAAAAAAAAACTAATCATAAAATAACAATTGAACACTGAAAATAAATTGATAATTAATAATAATAATTAAATTTTTCTTATAAAATTCCTCGAGTATGATAACAAATTTTGTCACTTATTTTTTTTTTTTAAATCCTGAAATTGGTAATAGTTGTAGTTCCTTCAAAATTTGAGAAATTTTGAAAAAGCAAAGATTATTTGTTATAAAAATGAGCAAATTTCAAAACATATTTATAATTAATTTCAGGATAAAAATCCTATCAAGAATTTACATGTGGTTTGAATTTATAATCTTTTCAATTTTAATACCAATAATTTTTGAAATAGTTTTTAATATTACTTTAATTAAAAAAATTTATTAAGTATTACTTTAATCAAAATCAAAAATTGATTATATATTACTTTAATTTATTATATATTACTTTAATCAAAATCAAAAAGTTTAGCAATTAAGCTTACATATTACCTTCATGCTGAAAGCTAAATGATTGCAAAATTTCAAATTTAACATTTTCTTACACCTATTTTTATTTTAAAATAACTTAAATTTTTGTTTGCTAGATTTTTGTAGCTTAATTTAATTAAATAAGCTTTACCGATTGATATATTTCTCGAGAAAATTTTTATAATTTTTGCAATCTGATATAAAAATTTGACTTTAGTGATAAATTTATAATTGATATAAACTGTTATCATATCTCTACTAGCCAAGCCAATAAGTGTTAAATTTTTCATCTAATGTTACCTAAGTTTCAAAAGCAGAATTTTATATTTATATTTTTAGCTTAAATTATTTTTGTCAAATTAATTTTTCATTTAATTAAGAAAAGTTTATTATTTAAAAAATTCCATTCAGTTTTAATAGTTTCAAATAATTACAGCTATCAGTTTTACGTAATTATGCATATTTTAACAATTTCAGCAGTTTTATGTTTATATTTGAATTTATAATTTTAATTTTGCGCTCAAATCTTTTTTAGAATAATTGATTCGTGATAATATGAAGTTATTATCAGAACTATATTTGATAACTTTTAAAATAACTAATTAATTGATAATTAGTAAAACTGCTATAGAATCCTAATTATTATTGATTAAATCTATTAGATTCAAAACATTTGCTGTTAAACTGAATGAAATTATGAGAAATTTAATATAATTTTTTTTTTGCTCATTAAATCATTAAATGATCAATGCCGCATTCTTTAAAAGCATAATTGATTCAACTGATTTAATCAATATTATCAAATCAGTGTAAATAATTTACCAATATTATCATATCACAATATCAATGTAATTTAAGTAGATTAAGGATATTAAATGTTAAATTATTTTTATAATATCAATATTCTATCAGTTATAATCAGTGTGACATTTTTGTGACAATTTCTCCTTTCCTAAATTCATTTGCATTCAAATGAAAGCACTTTTAATGATTTGTTAATTTATCAATTTTTTTCTTAAACGCTCTTACGCTGATCACACAGCTAATTGATAAATAACACATTTCAATTGTTTAGCTGATAAGATATATCAAAATGAACTTTTATAAGATTGATCTGAACATCTTAGCTAAATCATTCATTTATTTTCAAATTAATTTTTATTATCATAAACAACCAACAATTTAATTCTATTAATTTCATTCTTTGTCTTTCACAGTTTTTTTTTCCTAAAATTTAATCATTTCCCATCCATTAAATCAATTAATCTATTTGATAATAATAAATCAATCTTATGTGCAACAAATAATTTTTTTTTTTTTTATCTCATAAATCGATTTGAAAAATTGATTTATTATTATCAGTGTGTTTCAATCAGTTACAAAAGTGACAAAAATTTTCACAAACATTTCAAATTTTTCTGACTTAAAATTTTCAAAATAATTTTTATCACTTGTGCTTAACTTTCAAAAAAAAAAATAAATTTTTTTGAAAAAGAAAGAAAAGAAGAAGATGTATAATTGTATTATAATGTAATTTCAAAATTATCCTATTATAATGAAAAATCAAATGAAATAATATATCATTGACATATAAATAGCAAACAAAATTAATTATCATATTAAATTAAAATTTGAAATTAGG